TATCAGCTTTAGTTACATCAAATGAGAACGTCCTAACCTTTTTATTTTCATCTTTTATAGGCTCGTCCTGGCCCGACGCTATGGGTTTGGCCATTATAGGACAAGTATATGCATCTCCTTTGATTAACTCGGCCAAACATACTTTGGTTTGATCGTAATACTCGTCATTAATGGTATAAACGTCAAAATTTGTGTCTCTACAATAAGTCCCCTTACTAGAATTTTTCATTTGCGCTTCTTCTCTTATTAAACGTTTATACCTAATCACGTTTGCACTCAATTGGAAAAGATCAAGAAATTCACTGTCTTGGATTTTCTTTTTCAAATCAAAACTTAGACAACTTTGAGCGATTTAGACAAACTCTTTTTCGGACAAATGCACAAAACATTTACTTTTGGCTGTCTTGAACATTTGAAGGAAACCTTCTGCCTATTCGTTAAGCATTTGACGTAGATTTTCCAAATCAGCCAAAGTAACTTCAGATTTAGTCTTATAAAACTGAGCATAGAACAATTGTTCTAGTTGTTGCCATATTTGAACAGAGTTTGCTGGCAATTTGATGAACCAGGAGAAAGCTACTCCTGTTAATGAATTAGGGAACAACCTCATCTTATGGTAGTTAGTTATTTCACCACTTTGCAGTGTGAATCGCCATATATGTTCTAGAGTAGACACTTCCACTAAACTGGTGAATAATGAGAATTCTGGTACTTTGTACCCTCTAGGCTATGGATATGCTTGGTTTACCCAATCAGGATATGGCTTTGTATAAGTCGGCCTAATAACAGGATGTACCGCAAAAGCCATTTGATCCTGTACTATTTCCATAATTTGATTCCTCAACATGACGTTGGGGTCATATGGAATTCTTACAGGTTGAGTTACCCGAGGCCTAAAATTTGGTCCTTGGTTGGCGACAAATTTGCCAGTGTTTGGGCCATTCTTACCGTTAGCCTGAGTATTTATTCCATCATTAACACGCGGGGTATTTTGTCCATTATTCAAGATATTTTCTCTTATATTTAGGTTACCCCAAGAGTTTGATGTACCATTACTACTATTCAAATTTGACACTACACCACTCCCTAGTTTGAAGTGGACAGATCAAAAGGTAGTTCTATCCCTTGATTTGGACTTAGGACTGGGGAATTATGTCCTACAATCGTCTTAGTTTGAAAGTGATTTGCAATAGGCACAATTGGCTGACAAATTTGGCCTACTAACTTGTTCATTATTTCATTTAATGTATTCAGTTATTTGGCCATGTTGTCATAATTTGCATTCCCATTCTGGGTAAATCTTTTCATATTATGAACATTTCGTAGATTTACCTGTTCAACGACATCCTGTGTGAGTTCTCCAAGCAATGAACGCATGGTTCGAGAACTCAACTTTGTCATTGGTTCATAATGATTGTGACTGCTTTGACTATGTCCCTCTGTTCGTGGAGAGCTTTGCTGCTCCTCATATCGTTCGATCACAGACTGAACTACTCCCTGACTTGCTGGTTCCTTATCAGACTTATGAGGCATATTATTTTACAAACACCAAAAGTCCAACTGGACGTGCCAAATTGTTTCGCGCAGGTTGTCGCTAACAATTTAAAAAGGATTCAGACGATTGTGTAAGGAACAGACCTCTTAAGATAAAGTCCCAAAAAGGGATGTTTTATTGGCGATAATTTACAATTGGAAATAAACAGAATGCCTCCAAGGGGCGCAAGCATACGAGTATTAAAAGAAGTGTTTAAAGTTAAACTAAGAAATTGAAATTACATATTCTCTGTTTAGAGTGTTTGATTCGGGGTCCTTTTCTCTATGTCTTCTCTTCATTTTTATACTTCCTTGATAATTCATTCATGACAAATCATTTGGAAACTGCTTGATTGCTCTATAACTACCCACTTTATTCATGATGGCTGACTTGTCATGGAACTGCCATCTCTAACTGTTGCCATTACTTTAGTCGTTCAACCGCCTACAACTATTATTCTTGGATCGTGGGGTATGATAAGGTTGCTCAATAACCGCTTCAATGACTGCTGCTCTGGATAAGCATAATACCTTATGTTTGCTAAGATCCTGGGCTATTCAAAGGTTTGGGTGAGAATATGCTCATTCGCTCTGGGTGATTTTAATGCACTCCACTCTCTCAGATCTTGGGCGTCTTGCAAGCTTGGATGATGATGATACCTTATTCGTGGGCCTCCACCAGATTCATTAATGGTCCTATTTGGGCCTCTATCTTGGACTTCTTAACTGGGTTTCATCATTTGGACTACTCGATTTGGACTACACTTTTTGTATGTCAACACTGTTAAAAATTAACACCTTACTATAGAAATATAAGAATTCTTGCAAGACACAAATCTTTTTGACAACTGCGTTGAACTTCTATGGGATTGGACTTTGCCATAAATACAAATCCCTTTACAGAGACATCCATATTTTTTTTTTCTTTTGGAAAAATTATCTGTTTCTCTAAAGCAATGGAAACGAGAAGAAGATTGGTCACCAATAAATTTTCATCACATAAGAATTTTAAAAAAGAATAAGAAAAACCTCATTCAGCAAATGACAAATTAAGATATAGCTAAAATAATCTCTTTCGTGTCCTACATTTTGTTTGACTCGATCAAAAAGAACCAGTAGGTAGTAAAATATTGGAACTAATATTTAGTTACAAAAATATAATTGATTCATTTGTAGGATTTTGAAGTTACCTTCACATTTAGGATTTCAATTAGAAAGTTCCTTTCATATTTCTAAAGGGATTCTTTTCTTCCTTCTTGGGCTTCTCCGATCAGCGACAGTCTCTGATCCTCTGTGGCACTGATCGGAATTGGTGATTTAAGTTCAATAAAAATCAATCTCAGTTTCTCTACTCTCTTCCCCAGTACCTCTTCTCTAGTACCTTTAACTTAAAGGAAAACAATTGGTTTTTAGGGGATTTGGTGGGTATTGGGCTGGTTTTGGGCTGTTTTTTTATGAGGCCTTTCAAAATCATAAGGCTCTAGACACCAGCCTAGTTTGCCTTAGGCGCGGGCCGGCCCTGGGCGCCATGCTTTTGTTCGTTGTTATCAGACAACGAAAGGGTGTGAATATGTGGTTATCTGCGGTGGTGATGGTGGTACAATGATGCTGAGGTGCTGGTGATGGTGTGGAGCAGGGTAGGGCTGGTCTCGTTGAAGGTGTTGGTGCTGGTACTCAAACATGATCCTTAACAATTGAAAATCTGGTGCACAAACTTGACCTTAGACATTTATGTTATATACTAGGTGCAAGCAATGTGCAATGCACGTTTGCCTAGTTTATATTTAATAGTTTTGTTTAAGAATTAATTTGTTATTAATAAAGATGTAATTTTTTTGGTTAATTAAATGATTAATGATGAGATGTTTATATAATTGATAAATAATTAGATGTGTAATTTTGATATTGTGATGTAAGTTGGTGAGATCGAAGAAAATAAGCAAAAGTTGACAAACTTGGAGAAATGACTAAATTGTAAGGGATCCTAAGTTCGGGGACTAAAATGTAAATACTTAAAAGTTGTGCCAAACCTCACGATGAAGATTTGAGAGTGCTCGGAATCAATTAGATAAAGGAAGAAGTCAATGGAATCAAATTTAGTCAAAAAATGATCACAAATCAATTTCCAACCAAAAAGTTATGCTTCGAAGTTTTAGTCTCATATTGACACCTATTTTTGGCATAGAAAGTGATCGAATTGGAGAATGATGTCTGAATCAAAGTTGTAGCCAGATGAGTTAGCTTTCCAACGCATTTTGAATCGCCTNGGAGATGAATAACATTACTCTGTTATATATAAACTTAAGAGTTGAGCCATATCTGTATTGTATTTCAATTGTCTCTTTTCACGGCATTCAAAGAAAAAATATTTCTCAAGCTTCAGCCTCTACACTTTCTAATTAGCTTTAAGTCTCCCCATTTTTATAATTCCTGAAATACGTACGTGTAAGATTTTGAGGTAATTCGATAACAGTATTATTTATTTTATTTAAAGCGCAGTGATAGCAGTACAATTATTCTTAAAATGTACCACTTTGTTGTTTACCAATGCAAACACACAAGGGATACTTACAAAAATACCCTTAAAATTAGGAATATTTTGAAAAATCATATGAAAAGTTTTTAGGAAGTAAAAAATACTGTGTAAAATAAAAAAGTGACGTAAACTGAAAAAAGTGACAAATACCAAAATAGCACCATCTATCTATGCAGTACCAGTAATCATGTTCTTAAAATAATCATCACGTTCAGGCCAATCCACACGTTGACTATGTAAAAAAAAAAATGACAATTAAAAAGTGATTCACCGTCACTTTTTAAAGTTAAGTGTTATTTTTTTTTATTAAAAAAGACACATACTTTTATTAAAAATTGATGTTTGTCATTAAAAAAAGTGATAGAAATAAAAAATGTGACTGAAAAAATTGATAAACGCTAAAAATAAGTGACAAAATTCAAAAAAATGACAAATTTTAAAAAAGTAACGAATTCAAAAACATGGCACAAATTAAAAGAAGTCATACGATTAAAAAAGTGACAAACACTCAAAAAGTAGCATTACTGTTTCCTAGTATTAGTCCCCTACTCATAACACCGCCATGGTAGAACTATAAAAACCAGCACAGATATCAAACCATAATACATGATTTTCCCCATTTGTTCTTGTGCAATTACCAACAATACATGCAAGAAAGCCTTCAGCTGGCAGAATGTCAATGCCATCAGTAGCTTACACAGATTCAAAAATCGACAACCCAAAACGACAATTGGTACAAAAAAAAAAGGTAAATACAAAACATAATTCTTCAAAAATGTTCCTTTTTAAAAGCAATATACAAAAACCCATAATGCCGGCTCTCCATCTTTCACACGAAAACTCAACCCTTTGAACAATTTATGGATACCCCCTTATAATTCTGAATCAAAAACTTTCCATTCTTTTCAATTTCACATACTCTCAAACGAAAATGAAGTTCACGTTGTTCATTCCCACAACTTTTCTGTTACTCCTTTCCATTTCTTCAGCTTCTGCACATTTTTCCCCCAATATCACTTCAATCCCACCTTCGTTAATCCCGAATACAACAATATGGGAGGCTTTTAATAAGCTTATAGGCTGCCGTAATGGTCAAAATAAAGTTGATGAGTTAACCAAATTCAAGAAATATTTACAGTACTTTGGTTATTTGAATTCTTCTTATTATAATTACTCGGATGATTTTGATGAATATCTTGAATCGGCCGTCAAAACTTACCAGCTGAATTTTAATCTGAATCCCACCGGTGAACTTGACGAACAAACGTTAAAGCACATGGTACGACCTCGATGCGGAAACGCCGATGTAATCAATGGGACTTTGACTATGAATTCCGGTAGCAACCTAGAACTTACATGTAAATTCTACCATTCATATAGTGGTGGAAGGCGGTGAGAAGTCAAGATATGAAAGACCTCTACCTTCTTCTTCTGCAAATGGACGACATCGAGGCGAGAGACTCTGAGAGGAGTGAGATTGTTGAGATAATTCAAGTCCTGAGGGTAATTAATACGGTAATATAACTTTATTTTAGTTTGAAGTGTATTAATCAAAGATGATATTTTTTTAGGGTAGTTGGCCTAATTTTCCCATTCCATTTTTCGGGTAATACACCATTGGGCTATTGGATTTGCTGTAGGTCCAAAACTACTGATGAGGCACTTATATGCATTGTGCATAATGTTAAAAAGGCAAAATGTCATAAATAGCACATAGAATGGAGTATAATCAATTATGTTACAATCTTATATATAACTCTAATTTTTATTATTGGGTTTTATGGATCATGGAGAAGATAAGTGATAAATTTTTAAAATGAAAAAAAAATATATATTAGATGTGTAAAGTGAATCGTGTCAATCACGTTTACATATCCTATTAGGTTGCCTCGTGATCTAACATGCAGTAGACACATACCTATAAAATAGTTCTTAAATGAGATAAATTTCATGTGTAGTTATTCAACTTTAGCGAAATTTTAATTAAATTATTGAACTTTAATTTATCGTAATTGAGTTAATGAACTTCAATTTTGTTAGGTCCAATTTTGTAACTAGCAAAATTAGAAATTTTCAAATTTGTAATTGGTAATTTTCTTAGTCAAAATCATATCCTAGTTGAATTGCATTAGAAGTTTATAGAGTTGTAATCAAAGTCAAAATAGGATTTATTGAGTTCAAGTTACAGTAAAAATAGTTTGGGGCCAGGTCCAATGCTCAAGCAACTATGCAATTCGAATGAAATTCGATTTTAAAGCTGATTTTGAACTCCTTTTCATCCCAAACACCTCTACTATAAATATACAGCCTCATGAATGTCTCAAAGTGGGTTGAATCATTAATTTGCCTAAGAGATCTCATTGTTGAAGATCTTAAACACATTTCATTGATTCCACCTAAAAATCTTTGTTCATATACTTGATCATATATATTGATCTTTCATTAGTAAAGTCTTGTTGTAAGTCAAGAATTTGTTCTTTGAAACCAATATACGCATTCCAATATTTCTTGCATCAGGCTACAGATTAAAACACGAAAGATCCTTCATCAAACACCAAAAACAATACCCTATCTTTCCAATTCAGAGTTCTAAAGTTTGGGAAGAGGCGCTTGGAATTCTAACGCTCCAAAACGAAAGGAGTTCGTCTTGATGATCCACGAAGAGAAAAGTGACCCAGAGTTTTGGAAAGTGCATGCGTGCACAAACGACGAAGTTCCTTGATAATTTACAAGTTAGGTAGCTGAGTCAACTAAGGTTTAGCAGTGTCTAGACTAATTATAAGTTAACTTTTCTAGTGGATCGTTTACTAACAAGTTTGCCTGCAAGTTTTTTATCCATTTAGAGATTTTCCTCCGTGATCATATTTGGTGTTCTTTATTGCTTTTGATCTGTATTTATTTTATTTGATTGATGCATAAGACTAATGAAATTGGACTAATTAACTTAATCATCTAGAAACCAATTAATAAGTGACTAGTTGTTTTTAATTGTTTCATTCCGCATTTGAGTCTAAACAACTATAATTTTCAATAAGTGGTATTAGCTAAGTACGTACTTAGGAAATTTTTCAATTGGTATCAAAGCTAAATTGCGATCCTTGACCCCTTAATTGTCTAGATGAGTCAATCACATTTTGATTTAAGATATGAGGATAGTAGGGACATAAATGTGTCGTTTGATGAATTGTTTGAGGAGTGGTTCAATAATTAGATGGTTAGGTGCATGCATCTCCATTATTCATGGAATATACATATTGGTGCATACACTCTAAACTTTTTCCTTGTATTTTTTATTTTCCATTTTATTTGTTAATTTGAAAAAAAAAATGCAAAAATGGAAAAAGGGGTTTTAATGTTAATATTTTTGGACTTGTTATGTTGTAATCAAGTATTAGTGTTATTTATGAATAGTAAATAAATTTTGCATTAACTTTATTTAGAACTTACTTGGAGTATTTAGTATAGGTTATTGCATGTACCATTTGCACTGCACACAATAAACTCTTGATAGTGAGTTTTGACTACATGTGTGAGACTTGAAATGTCGGTCACTTGTGTAATAGGTTAACTTTAAATATGAAAAGACATTTAAACTAATTAACCTAAACTTTCGTATATTTCCCTAAAACGAAAAAAAATATTATTGAGCTTGAAAAGACAAAATATATTATATAAAAATGTAAGTTATATCTTATACTTTTCTTTGTAACATTTATGACTTGAGCAATTAAGCGTGTTAGGGTATCTTAAAACATGTCGTCTATAGTCATCTGACTTGGGAGTAGGCCTAAAGCTCATTACATGGGTCATATAAAAATCTTAATAAAGAGAAGCTTAAATATAAGATAAAAAAGAAAATAAAAATATATATGTGCTCACAAATAGGGGGAGAAAGAAAAATTTACACAATTAAATATGAGTTTTTTAATTTAAAAAAGGTCCTAATAACACTGAGAGCTTGTTTGGGAGGAATTTCTGGGGGAAGAATTGATTTTTGAATAGTGATATGATGAGAAATGTGCGGTTGAAAAAGAAGAAAAAATTATTGATGTGATGGAAAATATTATTTTATTGAAGAATACGTGGTTGAAAATGAGAATTGATTTACCGTAGAATTTGAGAATCTCTCCCAAACACCCCCCGAATTTGCCTTCATAATTTGAAGAATATATTCATTGTTCACTGATTCTTTACATGTCATTTTTCTCATTGATTTAAGGTTTTTCAAATTTAATTTCAAATATAACTAAACAAGCATTAGCATAGTGGGAAATGGTCCTCGTTCTAAAGCACCTAATCAGCATTTTTTGAAAAGTGTTGGTGCATTTATATGTGAAACTGACGGGTCATCGTTAAATAGTTGAAAAATCATATAGGTTTGAACAGTTAATGATTTGTTTCATGTGAACCGTCTAATCAAGTAAATACCTAGCCCTATGATAGAATTGGTCATCAGTTTTCGAGTCGATTCAATGGGACTAGATTTTAAAACATGATAATTTTCAATGTCATCTAAGCCTCACCCAACAATTACGCTTGAGGTTAGAGTTGGTTTTTGTTCACGAGAAGTTCAGCATCTCATCCCACTACACGTATTGATTTGAATTCACTGAAGATTGAAAAAAATTCGAACTTAATTAAATACCCTAGGTTATTGGCACATCCAAAATTGTTGTCACATTTATTATTTCGGACATCAAGTATCAAATCCTACCACCAGAGAATGAGAAATATCGAACTATAGTTCATCAAGGACGAAAAAAAAATGTTTGAATTTAAATTTTGAATTACATTGTAGTTGACATGGGAATCAATTAAGAGGGTTAAAAGCCAAAAAGAAAAAGGATTGCAAAGGAAGGGTACTCAAAATGCTCGTAAACTCATAAGGCATGTTTCGAAGTTCTGGAATATAAGGTGTGAAATTGCACCGCTACAACTTGAAAGAAAAGCTAACGAAAGTATTGCATTTGTTTCAAGAAAAAAAAAATTGTATTCGAATTTCTGGACTATATTTTGTTTGCTCAAGTCATGAAGTGAGAAACAAAATTCAAAAACTTAATTTGATGAACAAACGGATGTTGTGTGTTGGGAAAATTAGGCCCAGTACGGCCTTTGAAAAGAAAAATTGAGGAATACTCTAAATTAATGTTTTATCACTAAACCTTTAAATTAACAGTAATTAATACGCTAAAAAACACACAAACTAGATGAATAGAAGTCATTTTGCTAAAATAACAAAACACTCTTCCCTGTTGAAGAAGAAGAATAAGCCAATTTCGTCAAAAATCAACCCCGCGTAACAGTGCCAATTTTCAGCCATCTATCTCACTTCTATTTGAATTCCATGATTAGATTTAGTTTAAACCTTATAGTGTAAATAATTAATATTTATAAAGTTTCTTTTTGATGATTTTGTTATTTTGTTTGGAAACACGTTTGAAAAAATAGCTTTGAATCAATTAAATTTTTTATGCATGTAAGGTGTTTGACAAAAGGATAATGTGAATTCTGCCACTTTTTCTATGAAAAAGTGACATTTTGTCACTTTTCTATGATCACATGCCCTCCCCAATTTTGTGATCCTGTAACCCCTCCTTCCCCAATTTTTGAATTATGTCACTTTTTTTGAGTTTATTTCACTTTTTTTACCTTTTTATGCCACTCTTTTTGAGTTTGTCACTTTTCAAAAAAGTGACATTGTGCCACTTTTTTCATTTTACACAGTATTTTTTATTTCCTAAAAACCTTTCACATAATTTTTCAAAACACCCCTAATTTTAAGGGTATTTTCGTAAGTACCCCATACAAATTTAGGCAGTGTTTGATAGGTCACATTTTTCGGGAAAGTAGGAAAATATTTTCCACTTTTCACTTTTTTGGCTGTTTACTAGGCGAAATTTTCCACGGAAAATATTTTCCGGATTTTCCCCACACGTGTGCAATTTCCGGGTTTTTGATGAAAATGTTTTCCCGCCTTTTTGGTGGGAAAATATTTTCCCGGGTGGCTGTAATTTTTTTTTTTTGGGCAATGGAAACAAATGTCATAACTAATGGTAAAAAAAAAAAAATT